CGCCTCCTTCGGCTCCCCGGGGAATCCAGGTGGCTGGGGAGGCCCCTAATAACAGGGGGTAGAGGCTTCAGGGGCCACTCAGCCTGCTGCAGTGGCTGATTACAAATATTCCACTTCAGAACAGCTTGCAAATGGTTTGAAAAGCACACGGTAGCTTTACTGCTGCAAAGAGCCAGGTTTGGCCTCTTCCAAAGCAGACGTCACCGCTCCGACCTGCTCCGCTTTGCAAACACACGGAGGTTACCCGGCAAACAAGCCGGAGGAGCTCGCTGCTCGCCAGCTTCCCACGCGGGAAGGTCGCGGGAAGCTCTCCCGTCCCTGCAGCCTCTGCCCGGCACCACGAACAGCAACAAGGACCCAAGCGGCCACGCGCTGCGGGGAAAGGACTTGAGGAGGGAGAGGTCCGTGTGTCCACGTTGCTTCCAGGCAGGAGGCTCCTCCTCACACAGTGGCAGCGCAGAGAAAGAAGAATAGGGCCAATCTCCGCTGCTGTCGAGGAAATGTTGCTATTTAAGCTAAAATGGGGGATACTGCCTCTCTCAGGCTGCCTCAGCTTTGCAATTGAAGATATCTTATCCTGGAAAGGCATTGCCTAGGGATCACAAGCTAATCTGCACTACGTGAAGGACCACTACATGATAACTCTCTCAGTCTGCACTGCTTTTTGCAGAGACCCATTTTCATCTTTGCTTGTTCTCCAAGAGGAAAATAAAAGAGCAAAGCCTCAACACCAAGGCCATGCAGTGCATCTGCTGCAGGGGCGCCGTGGGCTGCACCCGGCACCCACGGCACCGCTCTGGGCACCCGCAGGTCTCCCCAGATACCTCCCCCTGCATCCGCTCAGGGCATCCAGGTCCAAGCCAGGGTCCCTTGGGAGCAGCACAGGCTGCTGGGGACGCAGTGGGGACAGGGAAGGGCTCCCCATGGTCTGCCCAGGCACCGAGGAAGCCGCCGGCGGCAGCGGCTGTGACACGTCAGGCGGGACAAGGAACAACGTGCAGAACATAAAATAACTCCACGAGAGCACTGGTCTAATGCCTCCCT